CAGCTATAGAGGACTACAAATCCCAGCAATAATAAATTATTCTCCATTGCGCTGTATAATTTATTATTGCTGGGATTTGTAGTCCTCTATAGCTGTTGGTATTCTGCATTGCGTTGTATAATGATTATACGGCGGAATACAGAATACCACTGACCAGTTATAGAGGAACAACAAATCCCAGCAATAATACATTAAACAGGCTATTAGAAGGGGCAATGCCTTGAAAATTGAAGCAAGCCCAGAAGTGGCTCCTAAATTACCAAAGCAGCCCTGGGGAATGAAGGGATTTGAAGGTGGATCAGGAGGGGAAAACATAGTCAAGGGAACAGTTTGTCTAGAGCATTGAACTATGTATTGATTTGTGGGGGCGCTAATGAAAGACTTTCCCAAGGGCGCCTAATTTTTTACCCAAATAGAGCTTTCTTTTGCTGCTATTTGATAGCCGCTGGTTTTGATTTATTTATAAAAAAGATGTATATAAATTAAAAAAGACCAGAAATTGTGGGAAATCAATATTGTCAACTTTTTGTTATACAAAATATCAAATAAAATAAAATTTCTTCCTAAAATTAGGCCAAAATTTATTGTGCTAAATGTTTTTGGTAAAAAAATCCCAATAAGTATATACTAAGCAGTTTGTGTGAATTGGTAGGTACCAATTATAAGTCTTTTTAAAACATGGTTTTTATCCATATGCTGTCAAACAACAAAATCGGTATTGCTCAGGGTAAAGGATTGGTTTAGGAATGATATGGCTGGTATACAGTATATTTTTTTCAAACCTTGGTGTGTCTGCTAGATAAAGTCTTATAATTAAGTAGGCTGAACCCCCCCCCCCCCCGGAAAAAAAATTATCTAAGGCCCTGAGCGGGGCAGCACGTCATGACCGGCTGCCCAGCTTCCTGATTGGCCAGGAAGCCAGGCTGCCTTGCAGAGTTGTGAGGGAACGTGAAGCCCGTGTTCTTTCAGGATGTCGGCATTGGTATTTGGTATTGGCGAGTACTGAAAAAAATAATCGGTACTTGTACTTGATATCGAAAAATCAGTAAAAAAAATCAGCATCGGTGCTTCCCTAGAGAAAGTCTTTAGTAACTGAAATCAGCTTTGGGGTATTATATACTCATTATCAATGTCTTTGTTCTGCTTTATAAAATAATCCAATATGTTTTCTAAAAATGTAAACTATCAGCTGGCCAGTTATGAAAATGATACATGTATTTTTCCTCTAGGACCTGGATTAGCATTTTTGGCTTATCCTGAAGCCGTCACACAACTGCCTGTTTCTCCGCTATGGGCTATTCTTTTCTTTTCCATGTTGTTGATGCTTGGAATTGACAGTCAGGTATATTTTCTTTTACAATCATTTACATTAAAAACAAATCAATTGTTGTAATAAAAATGTTGGACCCTTACCCATATCTTTAAAAAACAACAAAGACACATTTAGAAATATTTAGTAATGAGAATCTACAAACACATACTCCTCGATAATTGACAGCTTTGTATTCTTTGCATACCTTATTTATTTTTTCTTCCCCAGTCTTCTGAGAGTGGCCATGTTTACTAAGGGCAGATTACTAGCTCTCCTATTACTTCCTGGATTTCTGGCACATGTGACTAGGGCATGTGATAATGCACATCATCTCAGGGGAGGAAAATGCCTTTCCCTGAGATCTCATGATTACAGATGAGATTTCCCAGCAATGCTCCGCTGATGACAAGGCAATCCCAGTGTGCATTGCTTTGCCAAACTGAAGTTATTTTGCCCTTTCAAAGCAGGAAGTGAATGCTCTGCAAGTATAAGTATTTCACAATCACAGCATTTTACACCTGACATGTCCATGGTATTATTAATCATTATACATAGAGGGATGCATTGGTATAATTAGATTTTTGAGTGTAAAGGTCCACTGTAAGTCATTCAAATTGTTTTTTTCAGCAGTTAAGCTTACCCTGTTCCTCCACCAATGTGTGAATTGGCAGACTTATAATGTCTAATGTAAACACAAAGTTGGTGCAATGGCAGGGGAGCAGGGTCTCCTGAGCTGATTAGTAACTGACTCAGACAACAATATTACTTCTGATGTGAACCTGTAGGGTAAATTGCTCTACAGGGCCTGTCACTACACAGGATAGCATGGTTTAAAACTAATTTACCTCTTGTTAAGAACATGTAAATATCTATGTTACCATATCCCAACCACAGATTCACTTTATGTAAATAGAGAGAAAAAAAGGAGAGGAGATTTTTAGACTTCGGCTCTTATGGGGAAAATAATAATAATTAAAGTTTTCAAACTTATGTGATTCTTCTTTCCAACTGAAAATCGTCAGCCTGGAGCTGTCTGCCACTGCCATAGACATACAATCCAGCAGACTGATCTAGCAAAAATTAGCCAGATTGTGTGATAATTAGGGAAGCACTCTGTGCCGATACCGAGTATTTGGGCTAGTACTCGTACTCGCGCAAATAGTCTGATACTTACCCTGATACCGGAACTTCTGGTCAGAGTGAGAGTGAGATGACAGTCCCATGAGGGAGCATGGAGCCACCCGGCTTCAATTGTTGCTAGGCAGCCTGACTTCCTGAAGAATCAGGAAGCCAGACAGCTTGTCATTGCCTGCCTTCCGGGTTCCTGATTGGCTAGAAAGCCAGCTTCACTTCTTGCTAGGCAGGCTGGCTTCCTGAAGAATCAGGAAGCCAGGCAGCATGCCATGACCCTCCTTCCGGGTTCTTGATTGGCTAGAAAGCAAGCTTCACTTGTTGCTAGGCAGTCTGAATTCCTGACCAAACATGATGTGCCACCCGGTTTCCTGATTGGTCATGAAGCCAGGCTACCATGCACTGTCACGAGGGAACGTGAAGCTGGTATTATTCGATAGAACACTGGCTTTTCAGGCAAGCAGTATTCGTTATCGGCGAGTACCGGAAGAAAAATATTGGTACTCGTACTCGATACTGAAAAACTGGTATTGGTGCATCCCTAGTGACAATTGTTCCATGTATATAACCGAGCACCATTTGTTTTATGTGCCGGGAGCGTTTTGAGGAGTATCAGGTATATTTTCTTTTACAATCATTTACATTAAAAACAAATCAATTGTTGTAATAAAAATGTTGGACCCTTACCCATATCTTTAAAAAACAACAAAGACACATTTAGAAATATTTAGTAATGAGAATCTACAAACACATACTCCTCGATAATTGACAGCTTTGTATTCTTTGCATACCTTATTTATTTTTTCTTCCCCAGTCTTCTGAGAGTGGCCATGTTTACTAAGGGCAGATTACTAGCTCTCCTATTACTTCCTGGATTTCTGGCACATGTGACTAGGGCATGTGATAATGCACATCATCTCAGGGGAGGAAAATGCCTTTCCCTGAGATCTCATGATTACAGATGAGATTTCCCAGCAATGCTCCGCTGATGACAAGGCAATCCCAGTGTGCATTGCTTTGCCAAACTGAAGTTATTTTGCCCTTTCAAAGCAGGAAGTGAATGCTCTGCAAGTATAAGTATTTCACAATCACAGCATTTTACACCTGACATGTCCATGGTATTATTAATCATTATACATAGAGGGATGCATTGGTATAATTAGATTTTTGAGTGTAAAGGTCCACTGTAAGTCATTCAAATTGTTTTTTTCAGCAGTTAAGCTTACCCTGTTCCTCCACCAATGTGTGAATTGGCAGACTTATAATGTCTAATGTAAACACAAAGTTGGTGCAATGGCAGGGGAGCAGGGTCTCCTGAGCTGATTAGTAACTGACTCAGACAACAATATTACTTCTGATGTGAACCTGTAGGGTAAATTGCTCTACAGGGCCTGTCACTACACAGGATAGCATGGTTTAAAACTAATTTACCTCTTGTTAAGAACATGTAAATATCTATGTTACCATATCCCAACCACAGATTCACTTTATGTAAATAGAGAGAAAAAAAGGAGAGGAGATTTTTAGACTTCGGCTCTTATGGGGAAAATAATAATAATTAAAGTTTTCAAACTTATGTGATTCTTCTTTCCAACTGAAAATCGTCAGCCTGGAGCTGTCTGCCACTGCCATAGACATACAATCCAGCAGACTGATCTAGCAAAAATTAGCCAGATTGTGTGATAATTAGGGAAGCACTCTGTGCCGATACCGAGTATTTGGGCTAGTACTCGTACTCGCGCAAATAGTCTGATACTTACCCTGATACCGGAACTTCTGGTCAGAGTGAGAGTGAGATGACAGTCCCATGAGGGAGCATGGAGCCACCCGGCTTCAATTGTTGCTAGGCAGCCTGACTTCCTGAAGAATCAGGAAGCCAGACAGCTTGTCATTGCCTGCCTTCCGGGTTCCTGATTGGCTAGAAAGCCAGCTTCACTTCTTGCTAGGCAGGCTGGCTTCCTGAAGAATCAGGAAGCCAGGCAGCATGCCATGACCCTCCTTCCGGGTTCTTGATTGGCTAGAAAGCAAGCTTCACTTGTTGCTAGGCAGTCTGAATTCCTGACCAAACATGATGTGCCACCCGGTTTCCTGATTGGTCATGAAGCCAGGCTACCATGCACTGTCACGAGGGAACGTGAAGCTGGTATTATTCGATAGAACACTGGCTTTTCAGGCAAGCAGTATTCGTTATCGGCGAGTACCGGAAGAAAAATATTGGTACTCGTACTCGATACTGAAAAACTGGTATTGGTGCATCCCTAGTGACAATTGTTCCATGTATATAACCGAGCACCATTTGTTTTATGTGCCGGGAGCGTTTTGAGGAGTGCGGAGGGACTCTGTGTTCACTTCCATGTATATAACCGGCTAAATTCAGGGATGCTTCACTCTTTCAGCCCTGGCTAAATTTCCACAAATATGTGCTTAATAACTAGGCTTCTATGCTCATAATGTCGTTATACTGTATGAGGCAGATGTTACTAACATGGAGGAATACTGTCAGACCTTCACGTTTTGTATGTGAAAATACCAAAAACAGACAAATATCCTCTCTCAAGTTAACATTAATGTTATCTCAAAATACCAACATAAGAAATCAGAGGCAACAAACCACTATGATTATAAATAGCTAGACCAGGAAAGAGGTGCTGACTAGACAAAGCCATTGCGACCAATACAATCAGAAGATTTAACCAGCATACATTACAAAGATATATTAGTCTTTAGTCATATAAGATAAACAGCATTACAATTATATACAAAGCCTATACACACACATATTGTCAGTATTCAGTTCATTAATCGTATCTACATTATGAAACTTCAATAATGCACATCCGTACTGCTACATCTAAGATGACAGATACCGGGGGAGGGGGAACAATATGATCCAAATGAAACATATTTCATAGAATATTCGACTGAAAAAATAAAACACATTCCATTTAGTAAATATAAAAAGGGGATATCAATTCATCATCCACATGTTAAAAAATTCATACCGCATTTGTGTTTACTTTATAAATAGACACGTAATTATGTAATTAGGACAAAATAATTGATGGAACCATCCGAATATCATGTAAGTCTCCACTGAGTATTACATTTACGATTGGTTATATTAGGTGCTTGATTGGGCTTATTTTAGCTACTTCCATATGAGATGAAATTACAATCACTTACCATGATCATGGTAGAGTATATGTTCTGTAACCAACATGTCATTTCACATAGCTATAAGCACTCTTTTGCTTAAGAGCAATGCATGCAATAATAAAGATCCCAAGTTCCTTAGTCTAGATGACACCTGGTCCATGGTGTAGGCATTGACCTCCGTGGTACCAAGCAGAATAGAAAATAGTGAAAAAAGTAGAAAAAAAAACCCCAAAATGTTAAAAAGAAATATTTTTAAAATGTAAATAAATTCTAAAATGAAAAAATAAATAAAGATTAAAAAAACAATTGGGCAGAGCTAGCAGTGACAGCTAGCTCCGCCCAACTGTTTCCTATTGGCTGGCACCTGCTAGAGTCTTCTAGCTGGTCCTGGCCAATGAATAACAACTGGGCAGAGCCGGCCGTGAGGTTCAGGTATTATTGTTTAATGATAGATCAGCTTCCCCAGGTAATTTGGGGACGCTGATCAGTCATCACAAGTGGGCGAAGCCAGCAGTGAGATCACGGCTGGCTCCGCCCAGCTGTCATTCGCTGGGCTTATGGCTGGCCTTCGGCAGGCCGTTCGCCCCACTTTGGGTGTCACTTTGGCTCAGACGAGTCAAAGCATATGCCTTCGGCTCGGCTGAGCCACTCACCTGCCTTCGGCTGCTGTATGGGCTATAGTGAATAGCCAGTACAGCAGCCCTTCGGTTCGACTATACCGAAGGGCTCCAGCAGCCGGAAAA